ACCACCCAAAAATATGCTTCTTTGGTGCATTTTGAGATAACTATTCAGAGTGTCCATAGACACCAGAATTAACTTTAAAAGAAAAATAAACTAACCTATTATAAAGGAAATTTTGTGTTTAGATTTGGAGGTGCTATTGTTTCAATGTATCTTCACAAAATTCGAGTGCTGAGATTTGGCTATGTGGGGAGCCAAAATATACCACCCAAAAATATGCTTCTTTGGTGCATTTTGAGATAACTATTCAGAGTGTCCATAGACACCAGAATTAACTTTAAAAGAAAAATAAACTAACCTATTATAAAGGAAATTTACAGCTAAAGTCAGCAGCAGATGAAAGTGGGCTTTTTAAAAATTTCTAAATTTTATTTATTATCAATACTTTTTAATTTGACCAGAGAGAGACACAGAGAGAGAGAGAGAAAATGAGAAAGCAAGCTACCAGGCCCAGGACTCAAACCACTGCCAGCCATGTGGGAGTCCATCACCTTGACCACAACACCACCTGCCAACCGTACAAGTGGGCTTTCTTGATGCTATGCCCTTACCTTTCTTGGAACAAAAAGAAATAGATTAAAGGTGTGACACTTGGCGCAGAAAGACATGGTTCTTTGCATTCTCTCCTCCTCTCCCTTTTAGTGTAACTCTAAATCTCCTCTGCCCTATAGGGTATAAAGACCCTCAGCAATTTGACCTTCCCTTGAGTCACTTTGTATGGCTCCTCTGTGCACATGTGTACATTAAAATTAATCTGTATGCCTTTCTCTTACTAATGTGCCTGTTGTTAGTGATTGCCCCTAAGTTTGTTTTTAATATGTATGTTATGATGGCAATTTTAATTTTCATGAAATGAACTTCATAAAAGAAGGATCAGTATGCTGGCATAAGTTTAAAGCTTTCTTTTGGAAGTTCCACTCAGTCATCCTTTTATGGGCTCATGCTTATCTCTTAATTTGCTTATACATCAGTCAATCAATAAGCTCTAGAGAAATCATGGGCCATTTGTGAGTTCTTGTGGCTATTGAAGTAGAGTTTATTTTCTGCCTCTTCCTTCTTCACGTTCATCCTTCCCAGTTCTTCCTTCTCTTCTTTTTTTTTTTTTAAAGATTATATTTTCTCTTCTTTCTTTCTTTTTCTTTTTTCTTTTTTTTTTTAAATTTGACCAGAGAGAGAGCAAGAGAGAAAGCAAGCCTCCAGGTCCAAGACTCGAACTGCAGTCAGCCATGTGGGCATCCAACACCCTTAACCCTTAACCACCATACCACCTGCCAGCCCCCTTCCTTCACTTCTCTTTCCTATTTCCTTACTTCAAATCATAGCTTCTATGAGGGGTCTTCAAAAAGTTCATTAAAGGGGCCTGGGGAGGGTCTGCCGGGCTCGGCTGGACAAACTGTGGCACCGGCCATGGAGGGGTCAGGTGAGCCCCCGCTGGATGCTAAATCCAAGGTCACCAACTAGCTCATAGATTTTCAGTGGAAACTGGGGATGGCTGTGAGCTCCGACAGTTGCAGATCTCTTAAATATCCATATGTGGCAGTGATGCTAAAAGTGGTGGATCATTCAGAGCAAGTAAAGAACAAGTGCTTAAAAATGACAATTCCACAGTTTCACAATTTCTATAGACAGTTCAAGGAAATCGCTGCAGTTATTGAAACTGTCTGAACACTGGTTATTTGGCTGAGAACTTGCTGTCGTCATGCTTAACACAGACTTTCTGCAGTAATATTGCATAAGGATCAAAGGATATTTATTGAATGAAATTACAATGGTTTTTCAGTTTTTTGAAGTAAGTCAAACAAGCTGGAATCAGTGATGATTGTACAACCTTGTGAAGGTGCTATACATGACTGAATTGAGTGCTTCAAATGGTGTGCTTTGTGTTCTGTGGCTTTGTGGTCTGTGAATTATATCCCAATAAAAAAAACTCAAAGAAACAGAAGGATATTAAAAAAACTCAAAGGAACAGAAAAAGTAGAAAAAACAGAAGGCAACATGAGTTTATGCATTAGAACAATAGTTTTAAAATATATTGGTATTGGAAGCATTTATGAAAAAAGTCTCACATGGAGTCATATATCTATGTATATAAGATATATGTACTGATCCTTTGTGGTTCATAAGCATGAGGAGGTTTTCACACTGTTATGTGAGATGTGCCTCCCTCAAACCTTGTTACGACATTGGCACTGTACCTGTCTGAAGTAAAAAATAAATAAATCATATACAGAAAAAAAGTTCATGAAAAATGCATATTATGATAAAACTACGTGTGGATTTAAAAAAAATTTTTGCACCAAAATAAACTTGTATTTTAATTCCATTTTCCACCAACTTTGTGAAGTCCCCTTATATACCTGCTAACTTTCAGTGACTTGTTAGCTGACATGCTGAGTCAGGAGAAGAAATATCCCTGAGAGATTCATCCAGATTTTATCTTTTCTGTGTGTGCTGTTGTTATTTTTTTAAAGGAACGATTTATAAAATTTTATCATTATTAGTTTTTTTTAAATTGCTATAGGGCATGTTGCTCACTAGAGATGGGGGGGGGGGCGGAGAAAGAGAGAGAGAGAAAGAGAGAAAGTGAGAAATCAAGCTGCCAGAGCCAGGACTTGAACCATGGTTGGCCACGTGGGAGTCTAGCACCTCAGTCATCATGCCACTTGCTGGCCTCTAATATTACTATAATTATTTTTGATGAGATGATGCTTTTCAGTGACCCTGTGATTATAAACTGGACATAAGAAAAAACCCAGGGCCAGAAGGTGGCATGGTGGTTAAGGGTACTGGACTCCCATATGGCTGACCATGGTTTGAGTCCTAGACCTGGCAGCTTGCTTTCTCACTCACTCTCTCTCTCTCTCTCTCTCTCTCTCTGTCCCTCTCTGGTCAAATTAAAAATAAATAAATAAAGTTCAATACAATAATTATTTATTTTTAAAAAAGAAAGAAAAAAACCATTTAAACAGGAATAGAAATCACTGAGGCATGCTCACAATTTTTTCATCTTTTTCTTATTCCTTTTTAAGAGAATTATTTATTTAACTCATATATTATCATTGTTATTTATTTATTTTTTTAAATTTTACTAGAGAGGGAGGGGGAAAATGAGAAAGCAAGCCTCCAGGTCCAGGACTCATTCCAAGGTAAGCCATGTGGGAGTCTAGCACTTTAACCACCATTCCACCTACCAGCCCCAATCATTTTCTTATTCTAAATTTTATTCCCTTAATGTATTTTTATCTACTAAATAATTAATAATGACCATCTCTTTCTATGTATATTTATTTCTCCACATGTGTGTATGTGAACACCAAACAAACATGTACACATTTCATATTGGTTTCTGATGTAAACAATATCCTCTCTAAAGTAGTAAACCTTGATTGGATTTGGTTTACTAATTTAAAGGTGGAAATCCTTTTATTATCAGTTACTAATTGCTTTAGTCATTCCCACTAGATTTAACATCTTTGAAAGCACAATAGTCTCTCATAAGTCACCAAAGCTCATTCAACCACAACAAAGGTTAGCCCAGTCCATGGAAGTACTATGTCTGTTTCTAGTTCCAGTCAAGAGGCAAAATGATTTTTTTAAGGTTTTTGCCATAGGTTGCATGTGCTCACTGGAAAGAGACAGAGACAGAGAGAGAGAGAAAGTGAGAAATCACCCCCTCAGATGAATGGCCATATTGCTACAATCCCTTCTCTATTCTTCTCTTGGGAATTTGGGCACATACACACCCAACGTGATTTTCAAGTTGCCAGGTCCAGCTCTTGAACCATGGTTAGCCATGTGGGAATCCAGTGCCATAACCACTAGGCACATGTTGATCTGAAAACTACTTTCCTTTAATTTCTACCAAATTGTTTTTTAAAAAAGAATTGTTTGAAAAACCCAGTATAGATGGTGATTTCTTTTCTATTGTGCTTTCAAAGATGTTAAATCAGTATCTTATATGATCATCGTGTGAAATGAAGCATTCGCTATCATTCACTGTAAGATCTACAGCAATAGCAATGAACAAATCTTCTAAAAGCTTCTAATTTAGCTATATGCTTTTAAAAAATGATTTAGAAGTAAAAGACATTTATAAAACTATCTATATCAGACTTTAAATGGCATCTAAACCTTAGAAGTCCAACCTTATAACCAATATTTGTGAAAGTAATGGAAAAGAAAGATTAATGCAACCCACAGCATAACCATGTAGCCATAGATATATGATAAATCTAAATAGTGACTTAACATCAGGATCATTAGTTACAGTTACAGAAGTTCTTACATATTGAAAAGATATAAAGCCAACTGATAAGATGGGCGACAATGATTCCTACATCCTGGTAGTCATGGTCTATGACCAAGAGGGCAAGCTATCCCTGGACGGCAATCCAGGGAAATGTGGATGTCTGATTGAGGCAATCAAAACCACCCATCTTGGTCACAGATGGTTTTCCCTGGACTAAGGTGATCACAGCCTACCATCTTAGTCTTCAGCCATTTTCCCTAGACTGAGGTGGTCAATTTCATAGAACTGGCAAGACCTGTGGCTTACTTCAAACAAATAGAATATGACCAAAGTGATGAGATATCACTTTGCTGATTAGATTACAAAAGACTCTGGCTTCTGTCTTGCTAGCATCCTCTCTCTCTCTTGCTGAATTTGATGAAGCAAGGATATCTTGTGGGTGAAGTCCATATGGTAGAGATGTGAAAGCAACTTTTGACCAATAGCTCAAGAGGAACTGAATCTTGAAAACAACCATATAGGTGTGAGCTGTGAGCTGGAAATTGGCTCCTAAGCCCAGAGATGCCTGTGATCCTGGCTGACACCTTGCTTACTGTAGCCTCTGAGAGACTCTGAAGCAGAGGACTCAGTTATGCTGTGCCTAGACTCACGACCCACAGAAACTGTGAGATACCAAATGTGGGTCACTTTAAGCCACACAGGTTTGGATAATTCATTACATAGCAAAGAAGACCAAGACAAAAGGGTCATTGCTTCGCATTTTTATTATGATGTGGAACCATGACTTAACATCAGTTAGTATTGCTTAATGGAGTCGACATACAAATTGTTATACCGTGAATTATTCTCAGTTAAGACCACATTTTTCAGACTTTGCCAAAACAAGCCTTCTGCCTTGGGGTTTTCAGGCCACTGGAGGATGGAGCTCTTACAGATCCGCTGCCGTAGCCGCAAGTACTGAGAATGTTGTAACACTGGCTCCAGCAGAATAAATATAATCACATCCATGTTCTCGTCCATGAGCCTCTGCAAGGCTAAATAGAAAGCTGTCTTAAAGTTCCAATTTTTGGCATATTTTTTGGTTAAAACAAATATTGTTTTCTTGCTTTGGTTGATGCTCTGCATGACGTTGTCGATGATGGCTAATCCTGGATCCCAGTCTCTCTCCTCTAAACACAGAAGAACATTTTTTTCTTCACTCTCTTCAAGGTGGTAGCGCAGTTCATTTATCACCCAGTCAGTAACAGAGGCATCTTTGGTGTCATATGAAATGTAAGCATCGTAGAAAGTTTGGGATGTGGAAAGAGACCTATAGCCTTTTACCTTAGCTAAACACACATGATAGATAAACCAGACATCCCAGTAAAACAAATGGTGAGCCAGGGCAGTCAACATAACCATAATGGTGATAAAGAATGTGAAGAAAAACAATACTGCTGCGATGGTATCTGAAACACAAGTTGTTAGCTCCAGACTCACAATGCTTTTCCCTCTTTGATCCCCAGGACTGTCACAAATGACGTCTATCAACCTAGGAATTGTAATGTTCGGATTTTCATCCATCCAACTTTGAAAATCTCCAATGTCACAGGTACAGTCCAAAGGGTTTCTACCTAGTTCCAAAACAGCTAAATTGGTGGTGGTCTTAGTTTGAAGCGTGGATTTGTTTAGCATCCTTAGCAGGTTGGAACGTAAATCGAGGTGCACCAGACTGCTGGCTCCAGAAAGGAAACCAGAGGGCAGGTGGGAAATCCTGTTTTGACTTAACAGCAGCTTCTGGAGAGAAGTTGTAAATGTAGATAGGCTATGAGTTACCAAGGAGAGCTTGTTTCTACTTAGGTCAAGCAAATGGAGCTGAGGAAAGTACTGGAGTAATGTCCAGTTAAAGAAATTTAGCATGTTATCATTTATATATAGTTTGGTGAGATTCTGGGGCAAGTTCAGGAAGGCTTCATCTGGAATACGCTGAAGGTTATTAAAGGATATATCCAATCGTGTCAGATTCACGAGACCTTTAAAAATGGTGATATACCTGCCGTCTTCAGCATTCCACAGAAGGTCAAGGCGGTTTCCACTGAAAACTAATTCTTCCAGGGACAGGCTTTTTAGCTCATACTCTGTTAAAGTATAAATGCTGTTGTAGCTCAAGTTTAAAACTTTTAGTTGTGTTAAGTTCTGAATAAATCCTAGACGATGTGTTACCCCTGCTATTCTGAAATAGTGGGCGTTATAGCTGAGATCTAGAACTTCCAGGTAAGGCAAATCTTGGAGAGTTTTATCATCATCAAAGTCCAGTCTATTGTTTGTCAGATCCAAATATTTGACACCTCTCATGGCTGAGAATTCATTTCCGTGTAACACTTGACCATTGCCGTTTGAAGACAGATTCAAGCAGGCAATGTCAGTAAAACCTTCAAATTGCTTTTCCCCAATAAAGAAAATACTGTTCAAGCTTAGATCTAAGGATTTGCCGTAAGCAGTACATTGCGGCTTTATTAAAGGAGTGGTTCTGTGATAAAAATTTGAATGTGGGTCAAAGTTGGTATCTGCTGAGCGTGTTTTCAGAGTATGACTTTGGAAAGACAAACCATTTGTATTGTTTTGCCTGATATCGTTTACTAAGGGTGATATTCTGTTTTCTGACAAGTAAATAATTTTCAGATTGGAGAATTGTTGGAAAAGGGTAAAATCAATTTGCTTAATAAAGTTAATGCCCAAGTTGATAGTTTTCAATCTTGAAAGATTCATCAGGGGCTGGAAATCTTCTTTTCTAAGTTTTTGGAACACATAACCTCTTAAATGCAATGATTTGAGATGCCTGAGTTTAGAGAAGTTTTTGGAAATGTTAATATATTGTGGATATTCTGTCTTCACATAGTTAAAAGATAAGTCAAGTGTTTCTAAGTAGTCCAGCTTAGTTAAAAATGCTCCAGAGGCTATTTCTTGTATTAAATAGTTGAATTCAAGATGCAGCACTTTCAGATGAGGCATATTGTCAAACCAAGTTGCACAAATTGTCCGGAGAGAAGTGCTAGAGAGGTTTAGGTAACGAAGTTGGGTCAGGTTTTGGAAAGCAAGAGGTTGTATTTGAATTGAAGCATCTTTTTCACAAGGTTTGCATGGAAATGGTGCATTGAAACACCTTGGACAGTTCCCACTTAAATCTAGTAATCTTAAATTTCTCAATCCCTTGAAGTCTTCCTCAGTGATGTTTTTGATGTTGGTATTGCTCAGAAAAAGTTTTCTTAGGGAGATTAGCAGTTTGGGTGGCACATGGTAAAGATGATTGAAAGATAGTGAGAGCACTCTCAAATCTGTAAGATTTTCAAATGTTCCTTCTTCTATGTGAAATGTTTTGTTACAGTCAAAATAGCAGTTCCAGCCCAAATAGAGACTTTGCAACTTCTTAAGTCCCAAAGTGTCCTTCTTAGTTACCAAAACGATATTGTTTTGAATTAGGCTAAGTTCTCTCAAAGACTCAGGCAAACCAGTGGGTATCTTGATTAACTGGTTATCTTCAAGCAGTAATTCCCTTAAGTTTTTTAGGTTGAGGAATGCCCCATCTGTAATATTCATGCCGTTTTTATTTGGGTTCCGTAGATTGGCAGAGTTGTGGTTTAGATTTATTTTAGTAAGACTTTGCAGACCTTGAAATGATTCATTCGTTATGTGTGTGATGAAATTATCAGATAGGTCTAGCTCAGTCACATATTTGCCCACTGTTTGGGGAACTTCTTGTAGTCGAAGGTTGTTGCATTCTGCAATAATGGAATCATTTTGCCTTTTCTCATCACAAGGATAACTTCTAAAATAATTTCTTTCAATGAAGAACTCACAGGAACCAGAGGTTAGCAGGAAAAGGCAGGTCAGAATTGAAGACTGAAGGGACATATTTTCCTAAGGAAAATCAAAAGTGAAAGTTCAGTTTTAGAGTAGCAGTATTTCTCATCCATTTTTTGAAGAAATTAAGTGTTTTGCCATACTTTCATGAGTTTTGAAAAGTGAATTCTCTTAACAATTACATAAATTATATCAGATTAGGTTCAGAATGATTTTACTGGGTTTAGCTTCATGGAGCTAGAAGAATTAGAAAATTGAACCAACCCATGGTATGGTGGTTAAGGTGACTGGATCCCATGTGGCCAACTGCATCATTCAAGTCCTGGACTGGCAGCTTGAAAAACACAATGGGCATGTGTGTGCTATGCTCAAAATTCTGAAAGGAGGGAGAAATAGAGGAGAAGGGATTGCAGCACAACCATGCCCCATGGTGGGTGTTTTCTCACTTGCCCTCTCTCTGGCAAAAACCTATGTCCTCTGGCAAAAATTTTAAATACAAAAAGAAAAGGAAAAGAAAGTCACTTTCCCACTCTTCTTCCCTGTTTTTCTTAGCTAGTGGGTGACCTGGAGAATCTAATTGGTTACACTCATAATTTATAAGTTAGCTCACAGGCTAGTGGGTACAACAGAAACAAGTTAAACATGACAACATTACAATATTTCAGCAGTGGTGAAGTATATATACTGCCAGAGCCTAAAAGTGGGGGATTTGACCTATTCATGGAAGCTGAGGAAGACAGCCCAGAGGAAGCGAAGTCTGCATTGTGATTGTAAGATTGAGTAGGCACAGGACCAGCAGATAGTGTAATGGTTACATTGCTGGACTCCCACATAGTAGACTGCGGTTCAAGTTGTGGACCCAGTGGCTTAAAACTCATGCCAGGCGCATTGTGTGACCAAGATTCTGAGAGGAGAATGGAGAAGAAGGGATTGAGGTGTGGCCATCCCCTTGAGAGGTGATTTCTCACTTTCTGTCTCTCTGTCCTCTCTGTCTTTCTGGTGAGCATACCCTATTGCAAAAATCGCTCTCTCTCTCTCTCTCTCTAAAAAAAAAAAAGGTTAAGTAGGCACAGTTATAAGGCACAATAAAGAGGTCAAAGGAATGTTCTAGGCAAAGGAGACAGCATATGCAAAGGCCTGAGTATATTCCTGTGAGTTTCCCATGTTGTGTCTTCAGAAAAGCCCTGGGACAGGAATCAAGAGAGACATGGTATAGGCCCAAGACAAGAGACATCAGTTTTTATGTTCTCAAAACTGATTTAATCCTGCACAGAACTGCTTGCAGCAGAGGACCCAGAGTAAGAGCTAGGGCCAAGAGGGTTAGAAGGGCACAGAGGAGGTAACTAGTAGAGGTACTGCAGAGGTTCTCAGAGTCTCCTTGTCACCATGTCCAATGGACATGATTCAGTTCTCACCTTTCTCTTTTTTTCCCCTTTATTCATGATATAGCACAAATGAGAGTGAGAAAGGGCAAGAGGAAAACACCCTCTATAAATCCAGGCCATGCTGTGATCCCCTTCTTAATGCTCATCAGATCCTGGGCACTTGTGTGTATGTCTAGCACATTTCAGGCTGACCAGGCCAGGGATTCAAACTAGTTACTGAATAGGATCTGGCTTCTTTAAGCAGCATATTATTGCTGTGCCAATGGAGATGGTCCTTTCCTCTTCACCTTGATGAGCATGTAAATGTAAGGAACTAAGAGGAAGCCATGGGCCAGCAGGTAGCATGGTGGATAAAGCTCTGGACTCCCACATGGTTGACTGCAGTTCAAGTCCCAGACCCAGCAGCTTGAAAATCACACCAAGCACATGCACATGTGAACCCAAAATCCCAGGAGGAAAGTAGAGGAGGAGAGATTGTGGTATGGCCATCCCCCCTGAGGGTGATTTCTTACTTTCCCTTTCTCTGTATCTCTCTGTCTCTTCTGTATTTATGTTGTACAACCCAATGTTTTGAAATATGCATGCATTGTGGAGAGGCTAAATCAAGCAAATTAACACATGTATCACCCACATACTTATCATTTTAAAAATATTGCCTGAGGGCACATGTGCTCACCACAGAGAGAAAGAGGAAGAGAGGGAGAGGGAGAAAGCACCCCAATGGGATGTGATCAAGCTGTAATCCTCTTTCTTCCATTTCTCCATCCTGTCAAGACTTTGGACACACATGCTTATGTGCCTGGTGTGTTTTTCATGCCTCCAGGGCCAGGATTCAAACCACTTAGTTGACCATGTAGGATCTAGCTCCCTTAACCACTAGGCCATAGAGCAGGCTCATACTTACCTTTTTATTTTAATTCATTAATTAGCTAATTAATTAATTTTTATGGTGAGATCACTTAAAAATCTACTCTCTTAGCAACCTTCAAGTGTACATTACTTAACTATGGTCATTATGCTTCACAGTCGATCTCTTAAACTTATTTCTCTTGTCTAACTGAAATTTTATACTTTGAACAATAAATCTCTCTCCAATTTCCTCCCACCAAGAGTGAATTTTGATCTTTGTCTGAGGAGCAACACAAGCCTTTGAAGGTTTTAAGCAGAGTGCTACCATGCTTAAGATTGATTTGGCAAGAGGGTACAGAACTTCAGGCGTGAGCTGATGATAGTTTGAGCTAGGTTGGTGGCAATGGAGATAGAAATGGATTCGAGAGATACTTAGGAGGTAAATCTAGACAGCAGTGGACATATAAAAGGGGATTAGAAGGGAAAGGGAGTCACTGAGAATGACTTCCAGTTTCCTGGTCTGTGTGTCTGGTTGGATGAGGGTGC